GGTCGTTCATGTTTTTCAGCTCGCTGGTTGTTGGGTTACTTTTATGAAAAAAAAAAAAAAAAAAAAAAAGAAAAACGCTAGCAATTCACCGGCAGAGCGATGCTACGCGTTCAGAATGGAACAACGACGAACAATGGAACACGCCTCGCACTCGCTTCTCTGCGTTATTCTTGGCCAGCCGGAGGGCGATTCTGAAGTTGATGGATCGGCTGGTAACGCGTGAAAAGCGATCGTGCTGCTTTCGCGAACTTCCTCCTCCTTCGACATTCAAAGCAAGACGTATCGCGTCTCGAGGAGAATGACTGCCGGAACGCACGGTGAATTAACGAACGGAGCGACTGCGGATCGGATTAAAAGCTCCGGCGGCGCTTTCTTTGTCTTCTCGGCTGCGAAGTCCAAGTGGAAAATGTTTTTCGCTCAGTTGCGTTAAACGAAGAGACTCAAGTTTACCCTTTCGATTAAATTTTCATCGCCAATTCGGACTCGTCACGTATTTGCGCAGCGGAGATTCCTGCACTCGGCCACGAACGAAACAAACGCCAATTCTTAAGAATTATCAACGAAAATACAACGCAGACAAGCATTACAAGTTATTCGTTCACGACAAGTTGCAAATTTAACATCACGTTGCCGGAGGTAACCGGGCACGCATTTTAATTACTTTAATTGCATTCGATTTGTTAATACTTGCCTTCCGAGAACACTGCTCACTCGAAATGGAAAATCAGTTTCCTCCTAGCGAGGTAGACTTTTGCGTCGAGCGGAAAGGAAAAAAAAAGAAACGTGAGAGATTCGCAACGGATCGAGTAAATAGAAGTCGATTCTCCGAGCTTCGAGTGAAGGTAGACGCTGATTTACAAGGCCAGTAGCGTTTATCGCGTCTAGCGAACTCTTGTAAAACGAAACGAAGGTCCGAAATCCTTTCGTGGCACGATAGACGCACCTATTTCTCGTCCCGTTCAAAAGAAAATGACAGAAAGAGAGAAAGAGAACTTGAACCGATAAAAATTCAACTTTCCTCTCGCTCACTCATAAAACGTGTCTACAGGCGTTATCTGATGGCCCGGTGAAGGCCGAATGTGTTCGAGAAAATTTATTTTCATCACGAGGGTCGATGAATTGTTGCGTCAGCGAGAATTCGTCTCCCCTGCCCATTTTTTCTCTGCATACCCGTAGAATTTGCGTTTCGCGTTTTCCCTGGCGTTCGTTCTTCCACGAATTTCCCGGTGAACATACAGAGTGTACGTACACTGCACGCTGAACGAGGAAAGAGCTTGTCGAGATTGAATTTGCATTATCGCCGAGATCGGCCGAGAGCGTGAAACGCTGAAAGTGCTCCGTAAATGTTGCGATTTATTCTTGTCAATTGGTATCGGGACGAGGACGAATCAACGACGAGCAAAGCGGAATAACGGATGGAGGGGTTCGAATTGTAACGAGTTTCAACGTTAACGTACATTGTCAGTGAAAAGAAAGACATTTTTCAGCACTTGAGACGAGTGATCGAATGAGAACCGAAGGAAGGGATTTTTTTTTGTGAATTGGATTATTTGGAATTCATTCCGAATTGAAAAGGAAATATTCAAGAACTGAGACTCGACGATACAAGCCTAATCACGGGGAGGTGTAGAGCACGATTGATCGAGTTCTAGTCAACAGAAGTTATCGTCTCAGCTTCGCGCACACCTGGCAAACTCCAATCTCCTTTTCTTTTTCATCGTGACTGCGTTTAATCTCGCCTTTCCCCGTAGCCGGCGGAATTTATTGCCAACGCGAATTCTCGGCCTTCGATATCGGAATATTAATTTTCGGCAGACATGCGAGAGACGTTCGATCGGCTCGTTAATTATTGGCCGATTTTTCACCAGCTGCCGGTGACGAGGTTCCCGCAGAAATTCTATGTAACAAAATGAAATATCGTGGAAATTATTATCGCTTGAAATTTGGATTGGATTCAAGTGGAGAGATCCACGGGAGATTTTCATTGGTTCGGTGTGTTTGATTAACTTTAACCACTTAAATCGTATAATCGCTCGCTATAAGTAATCGAATTTGATATTTGAAGAAAAATTTTCTCGCAACGAAAAGTTAACGATTCTTTTATAGTTTTCGTTTTATAGTTGAGTCTTTTTTTTTCTAACGAAACGTACAACAGAGTCGAAAATGAACTGAAAGGCACAGTAAACATATTTCAGGGATTGTTCGCGCAACAATTTCACCCCGAAAAAATGGTTTTCTAGTAAAAATTTTGTAAAAGGAGTAGAAATTCATTTTCTAGATGATCTTATATGAAAAGAGACACACATTTGTATCAACGGCAAATTCATTTGTCATTCAGTCGACTGACAAACTTATCAAAACACGGGACGAAAGGGTGGACTCTTGCGACTCTCAACCTTTGTCGAAATACATATGCATACTTCGCGTGGAAAAAAAAGTGGCGAAAATATTCGAACGGTGCCTTTGTTCTCGTTGTGAAAACAAACGAGAGAGAGAAGGAGCGAAGGGTGAGACGAGGGTTTTGGTGGCCAGGCTTGGCCGACATGTTTGCACGGGCCTCGAAAGCTTTATTTGCCGAGCGAGATTTTCCAATTAAACCGTGATTAATCCACGCGACGAATGCTTAGGGCCGAATGTTTACGGCGCAGGGGAAATAAGTTGCTGGTATACAGAGCGTCGAAAATCGATACACACAGTGGGAGTGCAGTGGGTGGAGGTTTGGGTGCAGAGGAATCGACGATAATCCGATTTCGATGGACGGCACGAGTTGGATAATTCGTTTGCCTCATGCCACGCTGAAGAGAGAAAGAGAGAGAAGAAAGACGAGTGCGTCCTATCTTCGTCACTGTTCCTCTTTTCGGTATCTCTGCTTCTATCTCTGTTATCGGCGGGACTATTGAATTCCGTTTTCCTCGACCCGCGTGACTCGAATCGCGAAAAAAGAAATCGAACTGCGTAGAGGAAAAGCGCCTCGCAATCGTTCGAAATGATTTTACGTTCGAACGAAATAGCTCGCCGATAAAAATTCTTGTATCGCCGTGATTTTTATTCGTCGCAAAAGATCACGAGAGGACGTCTGATTAGCTCGACTCGGCGATTTATTTAGTTTCGCGACGGTGCAAAAATCGAGAGATCGCTGTATGGAGGAAAATTAGAAACGGATTGTACGTGAATAGCGTAGGGGAGAAACCGCACACGCGATTATGTCGCATTTTTGTTATTTGTTTGTAGAAGATTGACTCGATTCATGGTCATTTTAAATAGCTGTCTCGTAAACGTCATAAGTATGACTAGCTAGTAATGAAATACGTTAAAAAATTCCACCCAGTATCTCTCATGTAACATAAATATGAGCAATGAGATTATAATTTACGAGCTCTTGTTCGACCTTTAGACTTCAATTTAAACTTGAACGACTACATATAAAATAGTTTTTCAATTATACTCAACTGTCAAATTTCTCTATCATTTTCCACACTAGTCTAATAAATATTCAACGATTCCATTCTTAGATCATTCATTTGACGATTAACATGACGAATGACCAATTTACAAGTGGATGCGTGAATGGCACTAAAATTAATCGCGCGCTATTAATCGCAATGTAAGCTTAGAGAATCATTGTAACAACCTCATAAATAATATCAATTTGCGTTACAGCTATAACGAGCGACCAAAGAAATCCGCTAAGAACAGAACCAGCACGCAAATTTTACGTGCAATTGATCAACCGGTTTTAATCAATTAAATTAGTACGTCCTATACTCGAGTCGCTGACGATTGACGCCATCTCGTACAGGCAGCGGCGACCTTGCTATTATTGTCACATTATTTTCGCAAGCGGCCCGAAGTAAATCTGACGTAAATAAACGCGTAAATGCCTATACATATACATCGCGTTTTGACCCCATTAATTTATTAACGCGTCTAATCTGTTAATTGGTTTGACACACGCGCGCGCGATGCGTCACACGATTCCAAAGCGCGAATGGAAATCGCCATATCCGCAGTAGGAAAAGCTCGTTCCAGACGGCGTTACGACCTCAACGTAATTTGTCGTAATAGGCATGTTTGTTTGATGTAATACCAAGAGGCTGAGTCACCGTGATCGTTCCAGATCGCCAGCGACCTTGAAGAAAAGCGAAACGGCTCGGCATCCACTGGCAATGAGCACAATTTTCAGATCGATCCATCGAATCGACGCCGTTATCGTTTGAACGAGCTTGCATTCCAACGGATCGTATCAGCGATCGATCGATCTTTCGCGACAGTCTCCTACTGTAACGCCACTTGGATCGTAAACGGTCGAACTTTGCTATTTGCTCGATCGGTAAGTTCATTTGTAAATATACCAATAAACAGTAGCGTACGTATTACACGCTTTCAACACGATCGTCGATATTTACATGTATTCGTCAGTATCATTTAAAATGTTGCAGTATTCGAACACTTGTCATAAATAAATTTTTACATATATGTTATGTGTATCATACTGAAATATTTCTGAGACTTTAATAACATCTATCCCAACGAGATTCACCTGTCACGATCACTTTCGAAATCGATCGTGGAAATTTTCTAATGTTCTCAAAATTCGAAAATTGATCAACTCTACTTTTCCTTAATTTTATTGTACGATGATTTCCACAAAATTTCTAAAGTAAATTTGAAAACTGATTTAATTATAAGAGCAATATGGCTCCTAAACAGCTACGTCATACAATGAAACTGCTCTGGCTCAATTAATACGATATACGACGTAAAAGTACATTTCCGGAACTAACCTCAAATCGAAGAAGCGTACGTCGACTTTTATCATGTAACCAACTGCGTTACATCGCTGTCATCTTTCTTATTATTTCGTGATCAGTCCAAAGAACGACGACACATCGACTCGAGAAATCGAAACGAAACGCACGACATTTGAAAAACATGTCGTCTTGAACGGTGATTCGTCGGAGTCATCGATTCGATGTATCGAACGTCGCGCTGATTGCGATAATCGAAGGTTCGGAGACGCGATCACTGCGCCACCAGTTGTGGCTAAAGCCGTTACGAAGTGGAATCGTGCTCGGATCGCGTGACACGTTACAGAATTCGTACCGCGGATAATTACGCATAAATTATCCGGCCGCGTGACGCGGTGTGTACGCTGACAGTGATGGTGCAAAGGAGTAATGTAGGTGAGATCTACTACGGTGTGAGTTACTATACCGCCGCGTGATCACGATCCAACGTAAGAATCGTCCATAGTTCCACTTGGAGCGGAGAAGAGAACGTTCGATACTCACGTGTCTTCAGCAAACGGGCCAGCAAACACTATTCTCGTCCCTCGAGCGAAGCACGAAAGCACGAAATGACGTCAGTGGAAGATCACTAGTTCCGTTACACCCTCGGAATATCCTGGCCGTTGCGTATCCACACTCCTCCCCTCTCACCGTAGCTCCTGCTCCGTTCTCCTACAAGGTACGAGACCACAAGATACTCCTCTCTCTTTCTCTTCCTCTCCGTCACACTCCCTTGCAGACCGCAATAGCTCCAAAAACGACGAACGAACAAGCTGTCACTCGCGCAGTTCGTCGATTCCCACTTTGCTTTAAATCTGGTCTGATCCGATCCGATATTGCGCCGCGAAAGTAAGGTTATGCGCCGATGTTTTTCGTACGGCTGACGCGCGTACGCGGGTTCACGAGTATAAAAGTAAAAAAAGAAAGACGCGGTTTGTGAGACAGACACGGGTAACGAAGAAAGGAAACCGAGCGGGGCAGCGACGATGTTTGCCGTGTACTGCCTCCCCTTTCTTCTCTAGCTTCTCTATCGATATTCGGTGTCGTGATACTCGCTGCAACGACGTTCGCGATGTGTCGTGTCAGTTCTCGAACGGAGCACTGAGGAAAGAACTCGTCCTTTGCGCGCGCGCGTTACCGCACACGCGTATATCTATATATGTATATAGGTGTGTATATGTATGTATATATATATATACATACATATATATGTATATATATATATATATAGACAAATATAGATATTATATACAACACACGTGCTTCTGTATACTGTCCTTCGTTCCGTGAGCGAACGTTTCTTTCTTCCCTTTTTTTTCCTTCCTCCTTCTTTTTCTTGTCGATTAATCAAGAACAGTTACCGTTCCGCGAATTCACACGAACCATCACTCGCGAGTGCCGCTGCGAGACTGGAACGCGGGGAAACATGTGCGGCCTCTTACATACCGCGGCGGGCGAAGGGGGAGTCGGGGAAGGGAGTAGGGGGAGCCACCGACGAACAGATCGAGAGCGGTGGGGAAAGATCCCACTCCGGGCGCCACGAGTGGGGTAACTGGCAAGGACGCGAGACCTCGACGTGTCGCGGTCGCTCGACGTACTACTTTTTTTCCTAGCACTCGTCTGCTTCCTTCCCCCCGGGCCGCCGTTGATAAGGGAAGTTATCGGCAGCCTCTCTCTTTCTCTTTCTCGAGATCTGAAATTGGATGGCCGAAAAAAAAGGAAAAAAAGAAAAAAGAAAGAGGGAGAGGAGATTTGTCCCATTTGGACCGGGTTCCTGATCTCAATCATCGCCGCCGCGTTGCACGTATACGAAAACCACTGCGGATGTTAGAGATAGGGCGCCGTGAGAGCTTGTTCCTTTTGGAGCTGGTTAACCATACTTAGAGCCTACTCGTTTCTAGTCGTCGTTGAAATCTATCGAACGAAATAAAGCGAAACACGAGTGAACCAAGTATTGGATTCCTGTTATTTACTTGTAAATATAAATTGTTTAAGAGAAAATGACTAGCGAACGTAATTTCACATGCACTGAACCTGGATCTTTTCGTTATTTATAGATCTGTATGTATCGAGCTATAAACAAATCTAGTTCACTTTTATCTATGATTAACGCTAGAACTACCAAAGCTGTCAAAATGATCAATTATTCATAATTCTTGTTAATGCACAAATAAAAGCTTGTGTTCACTCCGTTGTATTATAAATTTCTATTTCTCTTTTGCTCGAATGTTTCTGATGAAAATTTTATGCTTTAATCACTCGTCGGTAGTTCCAGTGTTAACGACGCACGGAATCGCGAAATATTTGAAAGATTAATGCCACCATTTATTTCTACTAAATTGGTGAAAATGAAGAAATTTGGTATTTTTGACAAGATACTTATTACAAACTGTTTTCCATTGCTCTGATACTCGAGTTCTATACTCTATTTCTAGTAGTAAATTACATAAATATCTGCAATTTGTTCTGTACTAGAGATTAAATGTAAGAGCGACGTACACGAAAGTACATTTCGATCTCTGGAGTACCGTTTAATCGCGTCTAGATTGCACGACCTTGATTCACTTACACGTAAGCAGATGTACCGACGAACCGAACGTGCAGGAAGCCCGCTATCTAAAGACAATCGCGACAAATCGCAAGGTAGATTCGTATCGTGACTTCCGCGATGAGGTAAAACCGACGAGACGCAATCGCGATTATAAAGTCGTCTCGGCCGTGGCTCCGCGAGGAATTCATTTTCCTCGACAACGCGTAACACAAGAGAAAAGGTTTCGCCGGATGATTGCGATGGAAGCTATTGTAAATCGCTCATGAGGATTGGAGAATCGCTTTTCAATTCGACGCAGCTCGCTTCCACGATTATTGCCGCGAGTGTTCGATCGAACTTTCCTCCGTTTACATTTTACGTTTCATCATCATGGTTGTCCGTTGGAATGTTCGATGGCCGGCGAAAAAAAAAAGTATCGTTCTCGCTTGAATTAATTGTTTCGGATCGATCTTTGTTGCTCTCGATTACTGCACGATAGTGGCTCACGAAAGTTGTTTGGAACAAATGTTGCTACACGAAACTGGTTTTGGACTTTTGTCAACGCCGTGACGAAACACGATTATATAGAAGAGATCGTGAGATATTTATTGCAAGCATGTATTCAGTAAGCAAGTAATATGCTGCATGAATAAATATCTCAACCGCGTAAAAAGTACGCTGAGAATTTTTCTGCATTTTTTGAAGATGGCAAAGGTGCACATAGTGCATAAACTTTGAATATAAAGTGTATACAACGTATAGTGCCGAAGATTATATTCTTGAAAATATGAATTTGCATAAAAATTTGCAATCTAACGCGTGTTGAATCGCTTATATTAAAGTAATGTTAAAATACTGATTGAATATATTCGTAATCTCTCTATGAAATAATTGTTACTTTCACTAATAAGTATTTAAATAGTTTTTGTAATCCACGGTAGATATCATTGAATTGTTTAAATTATTCAAATGGATTTAAGACACACAGAATCTGGAGCATTTGATCATAATACTTCAAAGATCATACTTCAAGATTACTTCGATCTGAATGTTGTTCAGCTAATTTGCGGCACATTCGATACACGAGCCAGAGAACATTGTTCGAAAACAAAACAGCAAGTTATATAACGCATAAACTAAAGAACGCATTGGTAAAATAGGTTACATAAGCTTGCAATAAGAATATCAAAGTTGCGTATTGCGGTAGCGAAAAAAGAAAGCGATTTTGTGACGCAGTAAAAGCATTCTAATTCCTCCAGAAACGAAGTACATCGCCGCTTTATTCTCCGATGAATCACATTATCACATGATTCACGATACATTTCCAGAATCTCCTTTATTTTAAATATATCACTTACGCTTCGGAATGTCTTTGTACGCTTTCAATTGTTAGCGACAAAGCGATAAAGACAAAGTCCCACGTATTTATAGGAAATTTCAACGAAAGTGCAACATAGAACGCGCGCAACAGTGAAAAGTATATAAAATATCAAAAGTAAAACGACGCGTCACAATATGCAGCTAGCGAGACCTTTGTTTAGTTAGTCTACACTTTTTTAATTGCCGTCAGAAAAAAACATGAATTTGCATAAACATCCGCCTGTCTACCGAGAATTCATCCCCGCCGACCTCCGGATCGGAACCCTCTAACAACCCCCCCGTGGATGTTTTCCACATGCAGCGCCTATTTATATCAAAAGCACGGCGTGTGTCTTTTTAAGAATCCCCTCCCTTTGTACTTGTTCATTCGTGGTGTGGAATAAAAATGTGTCACGCATACAGGAACAGGGACGATAGAAGGAGCACGCACGAGCGCACCCTTCAAGCGTGCAGGGCTCGGGCACGTGGAAAGTTCAACAGGAAGGAAACATCAGAAACAGCGCACCGTACACGTATGTACGAGCACACACGTAAACACACACACACATGCTTCGTCTCTCTGTTTCACTCTTCCTTTCACGCGTGCCTTTTAAAGGTCCCATGGAAAGCAGCACGCGCTCGGTAAATAAAAGCCAGGGCGCATTGCACTGTTCGCCGGCTCGTTTCCGCAGCGTTTAACGACTCACCGCGGCTATCTGCGGCGTTATCCACCGTCTTACACACCTCTTCTCGCCCGCTCGTCAGCCAGCCACCCCTACGACTCGCTCCTTCTTCTTACTACGTTCCAACCACCTTTCTCCGTTCCATTGGATTCGGTTTAGTTTCTTCCGCGGCGCTATCGATCGCGCGTTTGTTCTTCCCTCTTATCGTTTTGTCCCGTTTCTCTTATCAATTTTTCTCTAGAAGCGCCCCCTCCGCTTCGAATCGGCGCGTCGCTGGCTGCAAAAGGAACAACCAACCCCCCTCTAGGTCGATCCCAGTTACGCCCTTGTTTGCACGCCCGTACGGCCTCAGCCCCTGTTGACTTTCCTTTTAGCTTTATTTACGGATCCCATCTCTTATTTGTTTCTATCGCTGCTCGATATAATTTTATTTGCAACCACTCTCGCCGTGTTTGCGATCCGAGGCCCGGCGAGTATCCACCGCGGATCGTCGACATGTTGCGAATCGCCTTTTCATCTTTTTCAGTGTTTTTCATTCGTTACGTTCGGACTCGTTTTGTTCTTTCATTTTCGGAGAGATCGGGATAATTTCCTCTGAGACGAGAGTGTAAATGTGTAGTTTGTAACTTTGAGAGTAGGAAATTTGATTTGTAGATTTTTTTTTGCAAATTATTCGAATCATCTGTATGTATTGTACGATATTATACTTGTGAGTTTGGAGGATGAGAAAGTGGCATTGTCATTTCGTAGAGCGACTTGGACTCAGCGCATCCCCTAAAATCTAAAGCACCGTCGAAATAACAATAATACTCAAGATATTCCTGTTATGATCCCTGTTATTAGTAGAGAATAGAAGTGATTTATGGAAGAATGATTTACACAAGCTTCGTTAAAGTATTCAACTGCGAATATAACGGGTACAGAGACAAACTTTCTTAAGTCGGGAAACGATTTTTCATTTACAATCAATTACTTTCTGACGATGAATTCATACTAAACTATTGATCATCGCGTTGTCCTATCAAGAGATCATAATCTAATTAGAAACAAAACAATCAAGACCTATCCCACTTAGTATCAGTACGAACAGCACATAAAAA